TTTATTTTGTTTAATTTTTTTATGTTTATTTATTTTTATTTTTTTTTTATTTTTTTTTTTTAAATATTTTTATTTATTTCTAGGAGAGAGAGAGAGAGAGAGACAGCGTGAGCAGGGGAGGGTCAGAGAGAGAGGGAGACACAGGCTCTGAAACAGGCTCCAGGCTCTGGGCTGGCAGTCAGCACAGAGCCCGACGCGGGGCTCGAACCCACGAACCGCGAGATCATGACCTGAGCGAAAGTCGGACGCTTAACCGACTAAGCCACCCGGGCGCCCCTATGTTTATTTATTTTTGAGAGAGAGGAAGACAGAGGATCTAAAGCAGGCTCTGCACTGACAGCAGAGAGCCCTATGTGGGGCTCAAACCCATGAACCATGAGATCAAGACCTGAACCAAAGTCTGATACCCAGTCTCCCTGAACTTGGTAGTTTTTTATACGGGAATCACTTTAGGTCATCTGCCATGATGAACTCCTTTCTCCTGCAGGATCAATCTCCCCTCCCCTTTCTGGGCTGCTATGTTCTCTAAATTGTAAATTCAGGAACAGCTTCAAAGATAATCTCCTACTAAGTACTTTTTAAAGATGTCTGGGGCTCCTGGGTGGCTTAGTCGGTTAAGCGTCCGACTTTCGCTTAGGTCATGATCTCACGGTTCATGGGTTGGAGCCCCGCGTCGGGCTCTGTGCTGACTGCCAGCTCAGAGCCTGGAGCCTGTTTCAGAGTCTGTATCTCCCTCTCTCTCTGACCCTCCCCTGCTCACGCTGTCTCTCTCTCTCTCCTAGAAATAAATAAAAATATTAAAAAAAATAAATAAAGATGTCTGAGTTAGTGCCCCTGCCCTTGAGGGATTGTAATCTAGTGGAGAGGATACAGATAAATTTTAAAATAGCTTTAATTCAATGTGCAATATGCTATAATGAGTTATATACAGAGTGCTATAAGAAAATTTTACCTTATTGGTGCCTTGGTGGCTTAGTCTGTTAAGCATCCGACTCTTGAAATCCACTTGAAATCCACTTAGGTGGATCTCATGACTGTGAGATTGAACTCCACATCAGACAACATGGAGCCTGCTTGGGATTCTCTTTCTCCCTTTCTCTCTGTCTCTCCCCCACTTGCTCTCTCTCAAAATAAATACACATTTAAAAAAAAGGAAAGAAAAGGAAAATTTTCCTTAGAATATAAATTTTAATTTTACTTAGTATGTTAAATATTAACAAGGCTTATTTTAGTGGTTAAGGACATTTTCTCTGTTTTAAATTGTTTGTAAGGGTGCCTGGATGGCTCATTCAGTTAAATGTCTGACTCTTGATTTTGGCTTAGGTCATGATCTCACAATTGGTGAGAATGAGCTCCTGTCAGCCTGCTTGGGATTCTTGGTCTCCCTCTCTCTTTCCCCACCCCACTACCCCCGGCTTACACCCTTGGGAAACAAACACAGACCTTAATTAATTAAATAAATAGTTTGCAGATTTACCGATACTTGTTTTTTTTTCATCTAGCATATGAACTTGACTCAACTGAAGATGCTTATAGTTTGAGAGCCAGACTACTTGATTTGAAGGTTTATCACTGGCTAGAGAATTATCGATCACTGAATAAAACATACATGCAGTGAAATTTGTTTAGAGTATTTAATTTTCAGTAACAAAAATTCTTTAATTTTGCATTCAAAGATAACGTGAGGCTGTATTTCATATAAATTTTAAAATGTAGTTGAATCAACCAAATGTGGGTAAATCAAGTATTACTGAGATCATTGTTATACATTTTCCTGCTTATAATCTTCTTTATTTCACATAATATTTTAATGTCTTTCCAAATCTAAGAAAAACTTCAGGATGATTTTTTTAATGTTTATTTTTGAGAGAGAGAGAGACAGAGTGTGAATGGGGGAGGGGCAGAGAGAGAGGGAGACACAGAATCCGAAGCAGGCTCCAGCCTCTGAGCTGTTAGCACAGAGCCCGATGTGGGGCTTGAACCCATGAGTTGTGAGATCATGACCTGAGCCAAAGTCGGTTGCTTAACCGACTGAGCCACCCAGGCACCCTGAAAAAGCTTAGGATGATTAAAAATGAACTGAACACTTGGAAATTTTTCATTATTCAATAACCATTTATATATATGAATACAGAATCAAGACTAATATGTATGTATATATTTTACATATTTTAAAAGCATTTGTAAAAAAAAAAAAAACTTGCATTGTTACTTCTACATTCTTACAAATGCTCTTGTGTCAGTTGGCACACATCTGTCCTTAGTCTGAGTTTTACAACTTAAGAGAGATTATAGCTCTTTGAATGATAGGTAGGGGGTTTTTTTGCTTTTTTTTTTTTACCTTAATGTGAATAGGACAGATGCCAAGACCATAAATATCAAATGTGTAGCTTAAGAAGGTACAAATAAGGTGAACACACTTGAGGCCATTATTCAGGTTAATAAATAGAACTTTCAGCTACCCTGAAGTTCTTCCATGTGCCCCATCTAGGTCACAGCTCCCTCTTTCTCCACAGAAGTAACCTCTATCCTGACTTAAATAATATGTCCTTTTTTTTTTTAATTTTTAAAATGTTTTATTCATTTTTTGAGAAAGAAAGAGACAGAGCACAAGTTGGGGAGGGGCAGAGAGAGAGGGAGACACAGAATCTGGAAACAGGATCCAGGCTCTGAGCTGTTAGCACAGAGCAAGGTGGGGCTCAAACTCATGAACTGTGAGACCATGACCTGAGCTGAAGTCAGCCACTTAACCAACTGAGCCACCCAGGCACCCCATGTCCTTGCTTTAAAATAGTTTTATGACTCACTTGATTATCTCCAGGCATTTAGTTAATTTTGCTCATTTTTCAAAATTATATGTCTTGAGTATCTTTTAATTTACAGATTCCTTCTCCATTCCTTTCTTTTCCTTATAATTTGTCTATTAAATGATCCAGGGTTTTATTTTTTTTAACTTTTTAATGTTTTATTCATTTTTGAGAAATAGATAGAGACAGCATGAGCAAGGGAGGGTCAGAGAAAGAGGGAGACACAGAATCCGAAACAGGCTCCAGGCTCTGAGGTGGCTGTCAGCACAGAGCCTGACACGGGGCTCATACCCACAAACAGTGAGATCATGACCTGAGCCGAAGTCAGATGCTTAATGACTGAGCCACCCAGGTGCCCCATGACCCAGCCTTTTAGACTTTCTCTCAGTCTGGATCTGGTTGCTCTCTCTCTCTTTTTTTTTTTTTTTTTTTGATTTTTAAGAAATTTCTAAGTAATCTATGCTACCACCATGTTGGGCTCAAACTTACAACCCCGAGATAAAGAGTTGCATGTGCCACCGATTAGAGCCCAGGGAACCCTGGATATTCTTGATTGTATACTCATGGTGCATATTTCTCTGTCTTTGTATTTTCTGCAAATTAGTGGCTAGATTTGGAGGCTTAATCATACTCATGTTTGATCCCTTTGGTAGGACCCTTAGGTATTCTGCTCTTTCAGCAAGGAAGTGCATAATGTATGGTTATTTTTCTTTCTGTGATGTTAGTGGTTGTTGACATCCAACACTTTGTTCCATTAATTCATTGGGGATCAGTGGTGATATCCTAATAATTTCCTTTTCAGTTTTTAGTTGGATTAGCTTTTTAAAAAATTTTTTTAATGTTTATTTATTTTTGAGAGAAAGAGCACAAGCAAGGGAGGGACAGAGAGAGAGGGAGACACCGAATCCAAAGCAGGCTTCAGGCTCTGAGCTGTCAGCACAGCTGTGGCTGAAACCCATGAACTGTGAGATCATGACCTGAGCCAAAGTCATGACTGAGCCACCCAGTTGCTCTTGTATTATTTTTATAAAAAGTCACTATGTATTATATACATTTGGTTACCTAATACTGTGTGAACCACAGCTTAAGATAGATGTATTAACCTGTAAAAATAGGAAATTCCTTAGACCTGCTTTTGAACAGAATTTTTTTTTAGGTGAACACTGTGCCCAACATAGGGCTCTAACTCACAACCCCAAGATCAAGGGTCACATGCTCTACCAACTGAGCCAACCGGGCACTTCTAAAAAGACTCTCTTGATGTTGAATGGGAGCTAGATAAATCTGGGGAAATTGACAGTTATTTGGTGAATACTTATTGAGTGCTTATTGTGAGCCACACATAAGGCTAATTGTTGGGGATATAGTGGTGAAAGAGTCAGTTGAGTAGGGGGATTAAAATAATAGTTATGAAGGAGATGTTTCAAGAGGACCTGATTTGGATTGGTGGGTCATGGAAGACCTCTCCAAAGAAATGTAATTTAACTTGAATTGGGAAGGATGAATAGAAATTACTCAAAGAAAGAGGAAGATTTCAGTCAGAAAGAATATTATACATAATTTTGCTGGGAAAGAGTTTGACTTATTCCACGAAGGGGCACCTGGGTGGCTCAGTTGGTTAAGCATCTGACTTTGGTTCAGATCATGATCTCACAGTTCATGAGTTCAGGCCCCACATTGGGCTCTGCACTGAAGGCTCAGAGCCTGGACTCTGCTTTGGATTCTCTGTCTCTCTCTGTCTCTCTGTCTCTCTCTGCTCCTCCCCTGCTTGTGCACACTCTCTCTGTGTCAAAATAAATAAACATTAAAAAAATAAAAGATCAGAGAAAAAAGGCCAGTGTAGCTTTAACATCTAGTTAGGGGAGTTAAGGGGACCTTAAGAGACAGGTAAGAGCCTAATCACATGGTAAAGCTTTATAAATAGAGTTAAATATCTTGAGGTTTACTTTAGGTGCAGTATAGAAGATCTTACCCATAGGCTTATCGTGGAGTATAAGCCTATTTAACATCTCTTTAGCATATGTCCACCTTCATACAATAACTATCCTGGGTGGGTTGGAAAGTAATCATCCCCATTTGTTTCAGGCCTTACATAGCTATCCTGGATGCCATCTATACAAATGGTGTTTGGATAGAGAAAGTTAAAAGGTTGAAAAAATCCTAAAAGCTAATCTTCTGGCTATATGTTTAAAGGTGTCTGGAGAAGCCAATGAAACTCAGATTGCAGAAGCATTGAAACGGTACAGTGAACGGGCATTCTTTGTCCGGGAAGCTCTGTTTCACCTTTTTAGCCTGACTCATGTGATGGAAAAAACAAAGCCAGAAATTTTAAAGGTAAGAATAAGAAACTGGATATGAAAATTTTGAAATTATCTCCCTGGATATAGATGATGGTTTTGTGAAGATAATTGGGGGAAAATTTGCATTTGATCTTTGGATTTGGGTTGGGGGTGGGGTGGGTAATGGGATTGATGATGTATGATTTTAATTTTTAGCCATAAATGAGAAAGAGAGAAGATAGTTGCATAAAGTTTTTGAAGTTTTTTAGTAGTCTCAATAAGCAGTATCATTGTCTTCTACTTCATATTTAACTACCTAAAACCAGTGACCAGTGTGATATTTTTTTCCACCATCCATAGTAGAAAATGGAATTGTGACACTAGAATTATAATACTGCATTATATTGCTTCCCATATCAACTTTTTAAAGAAATACAATATTGGAATTCCATAAGGCAACTTTCCATAACATTTATGAACCACCTGTGCTTTCATAATCAATTCATGTTATTCCTCAATTACAATCTCTTAACCAAGACAGCTTTTGAAGGCCAAGAAAGGTCAATTTGTTTTTAAAGTAGCCTCCAGGCCCAGCATGTAGCTGAACTTGGGGCTTGATTCTATGACTGTGAGATCATGACCTGAGCTGAAATCAAGAGTTGGATGCTTAGGGCGCCTGAGTGGCTCAGTCGGTTAAGTGTCCAATGCTTAACCGACTGAGCCACCCAGGTGCCCCATCCAAAGACAATTCTTGGGGCACCTGGGTGGCTCAGTCAGTTGAGCATCCAGTTTCAGCTCAGGTCATGATCTGGTGTTTCACTAGTTCTATCCCCGCGTTGGGCTCTGTACTGACAACTTGGAGCCTGGACCCTGCTTCGGATTCTGTGTCTCCCTCTCTCTCTACCCCTCCCCTGTTCCTGCTCTGTCCCTCTTTCTCTCTCAAAAATAAACATTTTTTAAAAATTAAAAAAAAAGATAATTCTTATACACATTTGAAGCCCGTGAGTATAGGACTATATTATATTTGATGCTTCATTTAGTGGGCACAACAATCCCAAGAGATAAGTTTTATCTCTTATTTTATAGATTGTGTAGCTGAGGGTCTGTGAGGTTAAATAATGTAACAGTAAGTTAGTGGTAGAGCCAAAAATGACTTAACCACCCAATTATCTTAAATTTTGAGAATGGGGTGCTTAACATTTCAATTACTGATATGCTTTATCTCTAACACCTGTCACCGCCTCTGTATATACCAGAGGATATTGGTACTTGGTATATGAATTATCTTTTTGTGGTTTTGGTTACTATGAACCTGAGCAACAAAGGACCTATAGTCCTAATCTAAATACTTAGTCATTCATTGATTTAGAGAATGGTACAGATAAACTTGAAAGAATATAGACAATTCTTTTAAGGAATTTAGCTGCAAAGGAGCACAAAGGAAAAAGATGATAGTTGACTGAAGAAGTAGTTGTTGGGTTTTTTTTTTTCTTTTTTAAGATGGGAGAAAAATAGCTTATTTGTCCTATGATGATATGAATGATCCACTACAGAATGGAAAATTGATATAGGAGAGGGAAGAGAGCTGGAGCAATGTCCTTGAGTAAACAAGAACGGAAAGAGCTAGCATATAAGTGGAGGGATTACTTTCAGAGATAAGCCCAAAAGATCCTTTATGGTAATAGGCAGGAAGTCAGCAATTGCAGGTTGTATACTGGTAAAGGGGATACATGTGGTAGTGAGAATCTGAAGGTCTTCTCTGAATGTTTTCATTTCCTCAGTGTAATTGGAAGCAAGGGCTTCAGCTGATAGTGAGGATTGGGAGGAATTGTTGGGGTTTGAGGAGAGAAGAAAAGATGAGAAGTGGTTATCTAGACCCAGAAGGAAGTGAATAGATTTTATGGTACTGTAACTTTAGCAGTGTTCTCAAGGAACTGAATGTCAGGATTTGAAAGTAAAAAGTTTGCCACTGGTTTACTCTGAAGTCAGTAAAAATTTATTTAGTGCTTAGCATATAATAGGCACTGTACTAGGTCTGAGAAATACAAAGATGAGTTATCTGAATAGAAAAGATTCATTAGCCCAATGGAAAAATACCTGGACATGAACAACTTGAAACCTTCCTGGACCAGGTAGGCAGGAACTACATGTTGATGAGTGACTACTATGCCCTAGGCTTTTGCACTTGAGGATAAAAAAGATAAGACACCTTAGAAGTTACAGATCAACAAAGTAAGGATCTATGTTAAGAAGGCTTGTATTGGGACACCTGGGTGGCTCGGTGGGTTAAGCCTTCAACCTCAGCTCAGGTCATGATCTCCCGGTCTGTGAGTTCAAGCCCCATGTCAGGCTCTGTGCTGACAGCTCAGAGCCTGGAGCCTGCTTCAGATTCTGTGTCTCCCTCTCTCTGCCCTTCCCTGCTCTCTGTTTCTCTTTGTGTGTGTATGTCTCTCAAAAATAAATAAACATTTAAAAAAAAAAAAAGAAGAAGGCTTGTATTTATAGTGTAAATAAAGAGAACTAATTTTTTTTCCAGCTTGTGGTTACTGGGATGAGAAACCACCCTATGAATTTGCCAGTACAACTTGCTGCAAGCGCCTGTGTGTTTAACTTAACTAAACAGGATCTTGCTGCAGGAATGCCTGTCCGACTGCTGGCTGATGTGACCCATTTGCTGCTCAAAGCCATGGAACATTTTCCCAATCACCAGCAGGTAAGCATGTGGGAATTCCTAATCAAGTAGTCCTTTTAGTATCCCCTACCAACTCCTTAACTCTATAAGTTCTATTTAGTAGACCAAGACTAGAAATTCAAATACCTTTGCAGGCTGTTAAGTAGTAAATTTATGGTATGACTGAGTGTAGGACAATAGAGAAATAGAAACCTGGAGTACATTCCCTGACTAAAAGTATTTAAATCCAAATGTTGATGGAAATAGTGCAAACCATTAAAAAACGCATCTTCTACCTCAATCTTGAGTTTGTGATAATTTCAGCAAACAGCCATAGCCTCTTTGTTCTGGGCCAGGCACTATCAAGTACTGGGTTACAGAAACAAATAAGACATGGGTTTTCTATTTCTAGCACTATAGTAGACTACATAATCTGTCCTATCCTCAGGATGAAAACTAAAAATGTTGCTTGAATTTTTTTTTTAATTTTTTTAAATTTAATTTGGGAGAGAGCATATGTGCACATAAGCAGGGGGAGGGCAGAGTGGGAGGAGAGGGAATCATAAGTAGGCTTCACGCTGTTAGCAATGTAGGACTCAGTCTCATGAATCGTGTGATCACGACTGGAGCTGAAATCAGCAGTCAGACGCTCAACCAACTGAGGCAGCCAGGGGCCCCTATATTTTTTATTAAAATTTAGCAGGCAGTTGATAAGTTAATAAAAAATACTCAGAAGTTGGGATGCCTGAGTGGCTCAGTCAGTTGAGCATCTGGCTTTGGCTCAGGTCGTGATCTCACAGTTCATGAGTTCGAGCCCCACATTGGGCTCACTGTTGTCAGCGCAGAGCCTACTTTGGATTCTCTGTCTCCCTGTTTCTCTGCCTCTCCCCTGCTCATGCTGCCTCTCTATCTGTCTCAAAAATAAATAAACATTAAAAAAATTATGTTAACAAATACTCAGAGGTGAAAAACCAAGTAAAAATGACAACCCAGGTTGGTGAGTGGATCATTAAAGATAGCTTCCCTCATTGAGGGCAATTGCCAAATTGGATTGGATTGGCTTTGGCTTTTGTGGCCTCTGGAAGCCAGGTGGACAGAGGACAAAGCAGGACCCACCCAAAGGCTCCCAGAAGGGAAGAAGATTAGCTGGTATTAACTCTATTTATTATCCTGTCTCATCTAATGGAAAAGACAAAATATGTGCAAGTAAACTTGCATGGGTCCAGTGGAAGTTAGTCTTTCAGCAGTTGGTAGAGAGAATAAAAGTTGTAAGAAATAATTGGCATTTTATCAGTCACCTTTTTTTATAAAGGCTACTCCTGGTTAAAAAATAACAAAGCAATATTTCATTCAGGAATTTTTCTCTCCCTTTGGTTCTTTAGTTACAGAAGAATTGCCTCCTTTCACTTTGCAGTGACCGGATCCTTCAAGATGTTCCATTCAACAGGCAAGTGCTAGCCCTAGAACTTAAAATGGGGCAAAATCTGTCTTGTGCCATTTCTTACCAGTTGGGATATCCTTGGTATACAGTTAATTAAGTGGATGGGATTGTGCATTACTTTATAGAATGCTAACTCTACTTTGTATAATTTAGTACTTTGACATTCCTGATAGATTGGCCCCTGTTTTCATAGCCCTCTGCTTAAAAATGCATATTTTATATTATGGGTTTTAGCCTGTCTACACAATATTGTAGGCTGAAGAAACTGAGGCATTTAGATTCTGTCTTGCTCACGGTTTTGTGTCTGGTAACCGCAAGACTAGAAAGACTCAAGTTTTCTAGTTCCAGGTCCAGTGTCTTTTCTCTATATCATATCTCTTATTATTATTGTTATTTGATACTGAATTATAGAAGAAACTTTTTAAGAGAGGTTAAGGGAGGTTAGATAGCTGGATTCAAGTAAGTATAAATGGTTCCCTTGTTTTCTAGAATATTGTGCTTTGAGAGCTAAAAAGGTGATTATTTTTGTCATTCTAATATTTTAAATAAATTTTTTAATGATGGTATTTTGAAAAAATGTACCTTATGGTTTTATGAAAAGTGTGTATCTCAAGCAGCAATGAGGAATGAGGTATTCCATTTACTATTTCAAATAAATAATTTGGATAAAAATATGACAACAGATATCCCATGTAGATTACTAATTTTATTTTATAAATATTGAGCATCTATACTGGCTACATGAAGTCATATGTAGAAAGGACATAGTCACTCTCCTAAAAGAAAATTATCAACTAACCCAGGAGTTGGCCAATTTTTTTAAAGGGTCAGCTAATAATATTTGGGGCTTATGAGTCATAGTGTCTCTGTTTGAAGTACTTAACTCTGTCATTGTACCTCCAAAGCAGTCATAGACAATATATAAAAAGTGGAGATTTTACTGTGTTCCAATAAAACTGTAGAAAACAGGAGCTGGACCCACGGTTATAAGATCACTAAATGTAGACTATAGTTTACTTACCTCTGCTCTAGCCAGTGCTCTCTGCTAGATTTGAGCTTCTTTGTGGTCAGAGACTGTGATTGGTTAATCTCTTTGTCTCTAGTGCTTAAGTGGATGTTTGGTGGATGAATGAATGAAAAATGAGTATAACAGAAGACAGAATTTTTCATAGAAGAAGATGACAGAATGCATTGAGCCCCCAAAGGAGGAGGGAAAGATTTCATCTGATTGGTGATCATTAAAGATTTCATGTTAGTGATGGCATTTGAGATCATAAAGATAACAACTAACCTGTATACAAGCACTTCCTATTGCCAGATGCTATGCCAAGTGTTTTACTTATGCTTATTCAGTCCTTACAGTCTTGTGAAATTTTTACTTTTGTAATCTTAATTTTATAGATAAAGAAACAGAGGCATAGAGAGGTTTAGTAACTTTCTTAAGGTGATAAGATAGCAGGTTCAGAATTTAGATTTAAATCCAGAATGGCTCCAGAACCTCTACTTTTTACATCCATGCTATATTGCTTTGAAGATGAGAGCTGGTCCAATTGGTTGCTTTATGTTGTGGGAACTGCACAAAAATAAAGGCACAGAAGTTGATAATAATACTAGTAAAAAATAACCTTTATCAAAAGCTTGGTATGTGCCAAGTTCTATACTGAATCTTAAGCTTTATGTGTAATATCATTTAATCCTCACAGCATTCCTATAGAATAGATCTTATTATTTTACAAGTGAGAAAATTGAAGATTTTTTTCATGGAGATTAAGGAAATTACCCTAGGTTCCCAAAGTTAGTAATTGGTGGAATTGATAAATTGAATCCAGGCTGATTCCAGAGCATGTGATGTTCTTAATGACTTTACTGCTTCATGTGATAAAAGAATTTATTTTATTATTATCAGCAACATTAGGTAGAACTAAATTTCAAACCCCAAAATACAAGGAAGTTCAGAATCTGTGCTCTTAACTATCAGGCTATCTTAACTCATAACTGTGGGCATGTTTGGGGACTAACAAGCAGTCTACTTTGCAGTAAACATAGGGTAGACAACAAAATATTTGAAAGTATGGGCCCATTGTCCAAAAATACTGTGAATACAGGAATGACATCATAACTAAGTTTTCTGACAGATTTATGTATTACTGCTGTGTAGACACAAATTGAAGGGAAAACAATGGAGGCAGAATGGCCCATTAGGAATCTATTATAAAGGAATCAGAGCTGGTCTTGGGAATAGAAAGGAGGTAACAGTAAACTGATGGAATTTGCAGAGGAGTACTTTCTATCACTATAATTCAGCCAACATCTATTAAACACTGGGTGTAAAGAGGATTCTTGGTAAAGAGGGCTAAGTAGGATATGGTCCTTTACCTCAAGGAACTCAGGTGAGGCTACAGATAATCACAACTCTCTGACAGAGTTACAAACAAATGCTAAGGAGCAGTGAGAAGGCAATGATAAACTTGTCAAGGAAAGCTTCTCAGAGGAAGTGATATTTGAGCTGAGTCTTGAAAGATGAAATTGTGGGTAAGATAATCAGATATATTCCATGGTGTCATCCTGATTTCTCTCCTGTCTCACACCCCACATTCAGTCCTTGACAAATCCAGCTATCTTCAAAGTATATCTAGAATTCAACCATTTCTCTTCACTTCCATTTCTACCATTTGGACTGGACTAAAAGTGATTTCTCTCCTGAATCATGTGGTAACCTCTCAACTGCTCTCTTTGCTTCTTTCTTTGCCCTCTTGAAGTTCATTTTAAACACAGCTAATACAATAATCCTATTAAAAACATAAGTGAGTTCATGTCATATCTCTGCTTAGAATCTTTCTATGGCTTTCCATTTCATTCAGAATAAAAGCTAATTCTTTACAAAGACTTTGTAACATCTGGTCCCCTGTTACCTCTGACCTCATCTTTTAATACTGCACTTCTTGTTCTTCTATCTATTCTGGCCTTACTGGCTTCCATGCTATTCTTCAAAACTTCCAGGCATACTCCCTATTCAGGGTCCTGTGTCTGCCATTCCCTCTGCCTGGAATGCTTTTCCCCTAGATAACCACGTGGCCAGCTCTCTTACTTCCTCAAAAGTTTCAGTGAGGCTTTTGCTAGTTACTGTACTTAAAATTCAACATTTTCTATCCTCTTTACCTGCTTAATCCTTTTTTCTCTATAGTATGTACCATGTATTTTACTTGTTTATGGTCTGTCATCCACAGTACAATGTAAGTTCTATGAGAGTATAGATATTTTTCTGTTTTGTTCACTACTCGATCTCCAGCACCAGGAACAATATCTGACACAAAGCAGGGGCTCAATAAATGTTTGTGAATGAATGAATGAATATTTATTTCTGTTATGCTAGGTATATATTGTATATATATTATAATATAAGGAAACCAGAAAAAACTCAATACAGTGTAGAAATCACTACAGGATAGAAATATGTTATAATCTAGAAGATGAATGCCAGATAGTTTTGACATTTTTCAAACTATTTCTTTACAAGTGTCAGAATTAACAATGAGGCACCATCTCCAGAAGCTGAAGTATAATTGTTATTCTGTATCAGTTAAGAGGAATTATCCCTTTCTTTCACACCTACCTAAATTGTAGCATCAGTTCTCAGCTAGAGCTCTAAGACTGTGCCAGAGCCTCCAGGATTCATTCATGAAACCATTTGTGCGTTTTCAGGTTTGAAGCAGCCAAGCTTGTCATGCAGTGGCTCTGCAACCATGAGGATCAAAACATGCAAAGGATGGCAGTTGCTATCATTTCCATCCTGGCTGCCAAGGTACCTGAACTCCAATGATTGAATAATTTTCTCTTTCCCATCACAGCTACTATTTCCCCCAAAATCTATATGCCAGAAGAGTTAGTGCACCTCTTTACCAGTCTGTTTGTTCAGGCTACATTCAATATTGCAGAACTCCATGTTGATCAGAGATTTTAGTCTGACCTTTAGAGTCTGTTACATGAATGATATTAAACTGACACTAACTAGCGAGTTCTTGGACGTTTACTTTGTCTTCTGCTTGCTTGCAGCTTTCTACAGAACAAACTGCACAGCTTGGGGCTGAGCTCTTCATTGTCAGGGTAAGTCTGTTATCTCCTCTGTGTAGACCATTAGAGAGTTTTCGTTTTCTTTGTTTTCGGGCAGTGTTGTGTCATCTTCTGATATTTCATTACTTTTAACTGGATGTATTAATTATTTTCTTAGAGGTAGCTTTATTCCCTAACAGAGGTAGGAAGAGCCCTGAACCTAGGAGTCAGATGACCTAGGATCCAGCTTGTAAACTCAGTTTGTTAATTTAGACAAATTATGTGAACCATCGGAAACTAAATAAGCCTTAAGTTCCTATCTAGTTCTAAAATTGTTTTGTTACGTGCTTTGGGGAGAAAAGATAATTTTAATAACTGACAAATGATTTTGCTTGCTTACACTCAGTTAAGGAGATGATATAATGAGCGGTGAAAAGTTTAAAAGCTTTAAAGACAATAAATATAAATGGTGTCCTTGGGAAGACTAGAGGAAAATAGTCCACTTCAGAGTTTCTTGTTACAATTCTGACATGAAGTGTGTGAACAATAATGGTAGCTAGAAAAGTCAAATCAAAGACTTCCCCCTTTTAAGATTATATTTTTAAATAATCTCTATACCCAATATGGGGCTCAACCCACAAGAGTCACACACTTCACTGAGCCAGCCAGGCACCCTGAAAGACTCCCTTTTTCTATGATTTACGAGTTATGTATATAATGAGAAAGTCATTCCTTTGATAAATATGTATAGGATACTTAACAAATATCTACCACCTTACTAGTTGAAGGATTCACATTGAATTATATCTGTAATTTCTGTCCATAAGAGTAATCTGTCGGGGCGCCTGGGTGGCTTAGTCGGTTAAGCGTCCGACATTCGCTTAGGTCATGATCTCGCGGTTCGTGGGTTCGAGCCCCGCGTCGGGCTCTGTGCTGACTGCCAGCTCAGAGCCTGGAGCCTGTTTCAGCCTGTGACTCCCTCTCTCTCTGACCCTCCCCTGCTCACGCTGTCTCTCTCTCTCCTAGAAATAAATAAATTTTAAAAAAACATTTAAAAAAAAAAGAGTAATCTGTCTATAAGAAGTAGTAGAGAAAATAATTATGTAGACATGGTTGTAATATAATCTACTAAGTATAATAATAGCAACAGGAGTGAAAAGAGTAATGTAAAGAGGAGAATGCTGTTGGGGGTATGAGAGAAAGAGTAGGAATTCTGGAGTCAACATATCTGGGTTCATTCCTAATTCTATCACTTACTAGCTATAGTTTCTATAAACTACCTTATATCATTATTATGGAGATTAAATGAAAAGGAAATTAAGATTAATTGAAGGGGTAATGCCTGACTGGCTCTGTCAGTAGAGCATGAGACTCTTGATCTGGGGGTTCATTAGTTCAAGCCCCACATTGGGCATAGAGCTTACTTTAAAAATAATTAATTGAGGGGCGCCTGGGTGGCTTAGTCGGTTAAGCGTCCGACATTCGCTTAGGTCATGATCTCGCAGTTCGTGGGTTCGAGCCCCGCGTCGGGCTCTGTGCTGACCGCCAGCTCAGAGCCTGGAGCCTGTTTCAGCCTGTGACTCCCTCTCTCTCTGACCCTCCCCTGCTCACGCTGTCTCTCTCTCTCTCCTAAAAATAAATAAAACATTAAAAAAAATTTTTTTTAAATAATTAATTGAAGTAATATATGCTAAGTGCTTAGCACAAAATACAATATATGTTAAATAAGTAGAAAAGTATGCTACTTTTACTTAGTTTTTACTATTTTCAGGAATGATATTTTTAGTTTCAAATGTGGCTTTTTATTGCTATATATGTGTTTCAGTCCTTTTGGCTGGAGGTATACTTAAAGATTTTAAGGAAGTAGTCCACTTATATGCTTAGTGGGGGGAAATTAAGCTTAGTTTAAGCAAGAATTAGTAGTAGTAGTAGTAGTGATGATCACTAGCTTTTTTTTTTTTTTTGAAGCTCTTAATACCCACAACTTACAGATGAAGAATCAAAGAATTAAATTAGCTCTTAGCCACTATGCTATTAAGTTACATAATT